TGTGGACCTGGTTTGCATTTTGGGTGTGGGGCATTTGGGATGGTTTAAACTCAGTTTGGGTCCTGCCATTTCTGGGTTTTAGTGGGAGAGGGGTACCTGGCAAAGGGGCCCTGCCCCAAGGAGATGCAAACAGGAGAGGGGCCTCATTTTACAGTTTTGCCAAAATTCCACCCTCTCACTCAGCAGCTCTAGGAAGAAACGTTGGGACTTGACTCTCAGTACATTTAACAAACTGAAGGCCACAGATGTTATAAAAATAGCAGGCTGATTTTCATATTATGGATTTGCTTATACATTATTTTCAAAGATTCAATATCTCATAGGCTGGATATTCTTCCTGAAATTATAAAAAGATATTCTTACAGGATGCTTTGTAGGCTGAATAAATAAGAAAGGCAAAAGGAAATTCATTAATCCAAGGAAATATTTCCACCCATACCAGATTCTTTTTTTGTTTTGTTTTGTTTGAGACAGGGTCTTGTGATATTGCCCAGGCTGTTCTCAAACTCCTGGGTCTAACCAATTCTCCTGTATCAGCCTCTTGAATAGTTGAAACTATAGGTACACACCACAATAACCACCACACCTGGCCATACTAGACTCTCTTAAAAGAAGAGATGAGGCAGAGAGAAAAACAGCAAATCATCTACAGGTTAACAGATACCTGGTTTTGTTTCAAAAGAAGTTTTTATAATTTATTTCAACAGGATGATATAAATATGAATGAATGAAAACAACAAATTTTGCTCAAAAATGACCAGGAAGAAAGTTAAATTTTTCATAGTTAGAGAGAGAGAACCATTTTTCAGGTTTATAATTTCATTTATATTCAAAAGATCAATTTGGGCCAGGTGTGGTGGCTCATGCCTCTAATCCCAACACTTTGGAAGGCTGAGGTGAACAGATCAACTGAGGTCAGGAGTTCGAGACCAGCTTGGCCAACATGGTGAAACCCCATTTCTACTAAAAATATAAAAATTAGCTGGGTGTGGTGGTATGTGCCTGTAATCCCAGCTACTTGGGAGGCTGAGGCAGAAACTCTTGAACCTAGGAGGCGGAGGTTGCAGTAAGCCGAGATCATGCCACTGCACTCTAGCCTCAGTGACAGTCAGACTCTGCCTAAAAAAAAAAAAAAAAAAAAAAAAAAAAAGAGCCATATGCTATTTTGTTTTTTGACACCAATGCAGTGCCTTAGGAAAGCGTAGACAAGGATGCGCGGTGATGACTACTGTCAAACACATGCTTAAGCACTGTATAGGAACAGACTCTTCTGAAGCAGATTTTTTTGGGTTTAGGAATTGAAATTGGTGATGAATTAAACTTAGAATAAAATCAACAACAAAATTACTGGGCAGAATCATCATAGACTAGCTGGTTCTCACCAGACCCACATGGTGGTCAGTTCACTGATTCACGGACCCTATCAAGTTTACTCACTAACTCTGCATCTCATCTACTCCCCCTAACATGAAAGAAAAATTTGCAATCCGGATACTGTCATATTTTATTCCAAATGTATCAGAAGAAAGGATCTTTGATACTTGATCCACATAGAATCCCAATAATATGCATGAATATGGAATCAGTGAACACTCTTGAAATGGTGAGTTGTTTCTGGTAGTGGGGAGCAGGAAAGGGGTGGGTGGCCCTCGAAGGAGGTATGTGCCAACATGGTTTGAAGTAAAGGAGAGCTTGAGTCTGCTGCCCATGTGTAAATTAAATCACAAGGTCAGAGGAACATCCGTTTGTGTAATATTGCTTGTGTATTTTTGAAAGAAGCTAGATGAAACAGGCACTGCCATTTTTATTTTGTATATGTTTTAAATCAAATATTATTTTTGGTTTTTCCCCCATATCTGAATAACAGCTAGGCAACAGGTACAGCAAAACAGATGGGCTAGAAACAGAAACAATTCTAAAACGCTCAGCTTAGAAATAATTTTTCAAAGGTAGTGTGGACAAGCCAGGGTCTCTTAAGAATAAAAATTTCATTTATCAAAAACATTTGATAGGCCAGGCATAGTAGCTCGTGTGTGTAATCACAGTACTTTGGGAGGCTGAGGCAGCAGGATTGCTTAAGGCCAAGAGTTTGAGACAGCATGGGCAACATAGTGAGATCCTATCTCAAAAAAAAAAAAAAAAAAAAATGATGAACAAAAGCATGGAATTAAACAAGATGAGGAAATGAGGACCCATTAAAGAAAAGTAATAAAAGGCAAGAGTCTTATGAGATTGGACCATAAACCAAAGAAGAAGTGACTCTGTATAAATCCCAGGCTGTTCTAGATTCTTGCTTATGTAAAACTGAAAGTGCACCCAGGGCTTAGATGGCATACACGTAGCGGGGAAGAAATACTGAAAATAAAGAGAGAAGGGGCTAAGAAGCACCTGAGCAGAGTAGATAAACACTGATTTACTGTCCTTCTGGTCCAGATAGGGACAAAACCTGCCTGCTGCTCTCCTTCATCTAACCTTTTGTCTATCCTGCTAAGAACATACCTATTCTATTCAGAAGACCCTGCAGGCAGTAGCAGCTGATAAAAGGAAAGACAGAAAAATAGAGCAGATAGTGCTTTAGTACTAGTCAAGGAGGGGTCTTAGTCCAAAAGAGTCCGGTTTTCCTTTTGAAAACATGGACCTGATGTTGGAGGAGGAAAAACATGAGCAAAAAATACTAACACTTTTTGTTCTTTATAGAAATAAACACAGGTTTTTCCAGTGTGAGTAGAAATGGACAATAGTTGTATTTTGGGGTATAATGTTAAAACTTGGGAAGATATTTAGTTGGACTCCATAGTAATAAACCATTCAGAGCAAGGAGGAGGAAGACTATATGCCTAGCTTGAAATGAATGTGAGATGTGCCGTACCTGCTAATACTAGGTCACGAGAGCAATGGACTGTGTTGCAAAAGACCACGCTGCTGGAAAGAGGTTCTGTGACCTCTGTTGAATTCACGGGCAATGTATTGGCCCAGCTCTTATTCTTGGTATGAAGTTAAGGAAAGCTCGAGTCTGTTGCCCACATGCAAATTAAATCACAAGGTCAGAGGAACTTCTGTTTGTCTAACATTGCTTATATATTTTTGAAAGAAGCTAGACGAAACAGGCACTGCCATTTTTATTTTATAATATTTGTTTTAAAAAAATCTTTTAAGTTTCCTGGCTTGGTTTCTGAATGGCTGGTTGGCATTACTGGCAACATCTCCTGATTCTTGTGGACATCTTTTATCTTGTTGCAGATTACTGATTTTTATTATTTTTTAAACTCTTTCTGAAAGCACAGCAGAATTACAGTGTTACTCCTAAAGGTTAAAGGACACCACTAGCATATGCTTCGAGGACAACTGATGCTGACTATTTTTATCAACAATTAAACTAGGAATATCTTGATAGTGATACAGCACTACAGCATATTGTCATTGTGCTGAAATGTTCAAGTGTTTGTAAAGTGTCTAAGACAAAAGTAAATTGAAATTCCAGAAGTTAGAAATAATTTGGGATCATGCTGTACTCTTCAAGATTTTCAGTAAATTCTATTTCATTTGTAGAAAGTCTCTTCTCTCTCTCTATTCTAAATATATAATAAAACTAGTTCTTCAATAACAAATATAAATACGAAACACACATAACGCTTATAATAATATAATAATACTTTTGTAACAAATATAAATACAAAACACATATAATACTTATTAAATCTTTCCTCCATATCTGAATAACAGCTAAAGTAAAAACTTTCATTTGATGGTTACATATTAGCTAGTAAAATGAGTAACAAGAATTTTTAAAGTAATTATCGTCAATTTGACAATTATTCCATAATTAAACCATTTTTTTTTTCTAGATGCAAGTCTAGCCTATGAAGCACAAAATGAATTTTTAATTCAACAGCTTCTCACCTATATTCTTCCTGGTCACTTCCACCTACCTCTCCAGGAAGATAACAGAAGGTAAACCCTTAGACTGAAATAGGGTATCAATAAATGCAGATTTCCTCTCACCACCCACTCCAGCTGAATATGAAATTAATGCTAACTGGCCACGGTGGCTCACACCTGTAATCTCAGAACTTTGGGAAGCCAACTCTGGTGGATCACTTGATGTCAGAAGTTTGAGACCAGCCTGGCCAACATGATGAAACCCTGTCTCTACCCAAAATACGAAAAATTAGCTGAGTACGGTGGTGCACGCCTATAATTCCAGCTTCTCAGGAGAATTGCTTTATCCCAGAAGGTGGTGGTTGCAGTGAGCCGAGATCGTGCCACTGCACTCCAGCCTGCAAGACTCCGTCTTAACAACAATAACAAAAAGGAAGTTAACGCTAAATCAATCTAGATGCTTTGAATGGAATCATGCAGCAAGATGAAACTAAGCCAAGTATAGGGTCTAACACAGGACCTTCAATCAAGTAGGTGTTTAACAAATGTTTGCTGGATGAAGTGCATAAATGAGTTATTAATGACGAGCAAATTACAACCCCCATTACATCACTGGAAAACAGGATGTTCAATAATATTTTAACACTTTCATGTAAATTCTCTCACGTACAATGCCGTGAGATAGCAAGACAAATATTATCATCCCTATTTTATAGATTAGAAAGTTGAAGCTAAACATATCACAAAGATAGTCAGAGACACAGGAAAGAATAAAACCAGGTTCTCCTGAACCTTTACATGATACTTTTTTCCCAATACACACGTGGCTTCTTCTGGGTTTCGGGGGTGAAGATAATTACAATTTGGGCTCAAATGAATCATGTTTTCTCTTTAAAATTCTTTAGAAAGCCACATTCCTTATCACATGATACTTTGAGTATTTAACTGTTTGTATCCTTCACTACGCTGTAAGCTGCTTAAGGGCAGAAGCAGCATCTGTCCTATTCACCGCTGCACCCTAGTGACTGCCCAGCACTTAGTCAATATTAGCTGCATCTTTTTCCATTTGAAATGCAAGAAGAGTTCCCAAGGATGAGATTCTCAAGGATGGGGTGATGGTCCTATAATGACCTAAGATGCCAACTTTGCATGACCTCCCTCCTCATATATTTTAGGAAGGAAAGGTGGTAGTTTGCAGAGGTGAGGCAGGGGAGAGGGGCATAAAATAATATATTTTCTACTTGGCATCTGGGGACACTCTCAGCTCTCAGCGCCCAGCCCAGCTCCCTTCAAAATGTTTGCTGTTCATGAAATCCTGTGCAAGCTCAGCTTGCAGGGTGATCACTTTACACCCCCAAGTGCATATGGGTCAAAGCCTACACTAACTTTGATGCTAAGCAGGATGCTTTGAATATTGAAACGGCCAACAAGACCAAAGGTATGGATGTGGTCACCATTGTTAATATTTTGACCAACCACAGCAATGCACAGAGACAGGATATTGCCTTTGCCTACCAGAGAAGGACCAAAAAGGAACTTACATCAGCACTGAAGTCAGCCTTATCTGGCCACCTAGAGATAGTGATTTTGAGCCTATTGAGGACACCTGCTCAGTATGATACTTCTGAGCTAAAAGCTTCCAAGAAGGGACTGGGAACAGACGAGGACTCCGTCATTGAGATAATCTGCTCAAGAACCAACCAAGGGCTGCAGGAAATTAACAGAGTCTACAAGGAAATGTACAAAACTGATCTGGAGAAGGACATTATTTTGGACACATCTGGTGATATCTGCAAGCTGATGGTTGCCCTGGCAAAGGGCAGAAGAGCAGAGGATGGCTCTGTCATTGATTAACTGATTGACCAAGATGCCTGGGATCTCTACAACACTGGAGTGAAGAGGAAAGGAACTGATGGTCCTTTCAAGTGGATCAGCATCATGACTGAGCAGAACGTGTCCTATCTCCAGAAAGTACTTCCTAGGTACAAGAGCTACAGCCCTTAGGACCCACAGGAGAGCATCAAGAAAGAGGTTAAAGGAGACCTGGAAAATGCTTTCCTGAACCTGGTCCAGTGCACTCAGAACAAGCCCCTGTATTTTGCTGATCAGCTGTACGACTCCATGAAGTGCAAAGGGACTCGAGATAAGGTCCTGATCAGAATTATGGTCTCCTGAAGTGACGTGGACATGTTGAAAATTAGATCTTAATTCAAGAGAAAGTACAGCAAGTCCCTATACTATTACACCCAGCAAGACACTAAGGGTGACTACCAGAAAGCGCTGCTGTACCTGTGTGGTGATGACTGAAGCCCGACACGGCATGAGCATCCAGAAATGGTGCTCCCCATGCTTCCAGCTGACAGGTCTAGAAAACCAGTTTGCGACTAACAGTCTCTGTGGCTGTCTCTGTGAGGATGACGTTGGCATTGCCCCCGACCTCATTTTAGTTGCCCAAGCATTGCCTGACTTTCCTGTCTCGTCTTTCCTGTAAGCCAGAGAAGTGAAATTCCAAGGAGTTGGAAGTAAGTCTATGATGTGAAATACTTTGCCTCCTCTATATTGTATCATAAACAGATGAATAAACTGAATGTGTACTTTAGAAACAAGTAAAAAAAAAAATTCTAAAGTACACTGAATGTGTACTTTAGAAACAAGCAAAAAATATATATACTTTACAGAGGCTATAAGGCCTCTGAATTCATGCTAAGCGATTTTACACATCCATTTTAAATTACACTGTTCTAGAGTAAAATGAGTATTTCATTCAACTTCTCATCGACTCAAGAAGGTATGATGTGTAATGAATTAAATAATTTGAGAGTACTCAACTATAATTCTTTCACTCCCTCCCACATCTTCTGACTTCCCCTTTGTTCAATGACTCTTTTTAGTATAATGGCTGATAAAAACCAGCTCATGGCTTCTAGTCAGCAAACTCTTTAACAGTCAAGGAAATATAACCCTTGTGTTTTAAATCATCATCAACAGATGCTCTAAGCTATTTTTCTAAACTCATTCAGGATTGTTTTCTAATACAATATTAGAGTAATGCAATAAGTCACTCACAGTGGGCAGACAATTACATTTTCAAGTATGAGAAGCATCAAATATCTCAACTTTGGAAAACCACAGTAGTTAAAGGGCATTTTTAGTGAAAAGGAATCCTTGTGTCATTTAAAAGGCAGGGGCTTCACCTCCCTAAGCTTCCATTTCTTTAAGGATGATTATATGTTGTTCTAGTAATTTGGCTCTTGGCAGGGCAAGGGCTGGAAGCCTGGGAGGCCAGGGGAGCTCTGATTTGTAGCATTTACCTTTTCTATAGTGTAAATGCTTTCATCAAGGCCAATTGCAAGCTACCAACATGAAGTCATTGAATAAGCCAGTATGGCCTGGCTCCAGCATATCAAACATGATACCGTAGAGTTATTAGGAATGGAAAGTATATTATATCTACGAAGAATTGTAAGTAGCACAATGCCTGGTTCAGAGAATGCCTGTTCCTTTCTCCTGCTTTCTATTCTCCATCTATTCCTTCCTGAACTACAATGCCTATCTTTGACATTTTACTGAAGCTCATGATTTAAAGTAACTTCTCTATACTTTTTGCTTCCAAATCGATGTCTCTAGCCCTGACTTCTTTGCTGAGCTCCAAACCTATACTGCAAACTGCCTACTATACACTTCAACCTGGAAGATCAAAACTGAGACAAACCTGCTCTTCATCCTAGCTTCCTTACCTTGGTTAATAATGATAATGACAATAGTAGTCAATATTTATTGAGTCCTTACCATGTGCCTGCACTGTTCTAAGGCTTTACATGCATTATTTTAATCCTCACCATATGAGGTATACATTACTATCATCCCCATTTTACAGATAAAGTAAGGCATAGAGACGTTAAATAATTTCTCTTAAGTCACATGGCTAAGAAGAGCAGGCTGGGATTCAAACTGAGCAATTAGGCTTTTGATCTCTGCTATAGTTTGAATGGGTCCTCTCAAAAAGTTCCTGTATTAGAACTTTAATTCCCAATGTGGTAGTGTTGGGAGATAAGGCCTTTAAGGGGTTTATTGGGTTGTGAGGGCAGAGCCCTCATGAATAGATCAAAACCATTTTGAAGGGGTGAGTTCTCACGAGAATGAGTTGTTTTAAAAAGGGGCTTAGCTTGCTCTTGTGGTCTCTTTTGCAGTTGCTCACTTGTCCTTCAGCTTTTCCACCATATTAGGACGCAGTAAAAAAGCCCTCGCCAGAAGCTGCCACCATGCCTTTCAACTTCGCAGCCTCCAGAACCATAAGCCAATTAAACTTCTTTCCTTTATAAATTACCCAGTCTCAGGTATTCTGTTATAGCAACAGAAAATGGACCGAGACAAGCCCTTTGTCTACTATATTTCTAACTACTTACATTAACTATCAGTTCTAGACTACAACTATGAATATGTTAACTAGTACTACCTACTTTGCCTCTCTAAAATGTATTAGACACTATTTAGTGCCAGGCATTGTTCCAAGCTCTTTTGCGTGCTAATTTAATCCTCAAAACTAAGAAAACTTTGTAACTTTATAAAGGAAACTGAGGCACTGAGAGACTAAGCAACTTACCAAAATTAAACAGATAGAAAAGTAGCAGTGTTGGGACAGTCTAGCTTCAGAGTTCACAGCCTTAACTATCTACTCTACTGTATCATTTCCCCACAGCACTAAAGTCTAACAGCTGGGAGTTTAAATTGTTCACCAAATTTCTCTCTCTCCCGCCAAAGCATTTTGTAAACCTGCTGTTTTCTATCTACTCCATCACATCACTCTTTTTTTTTTCGAGACAGACTCTCATTCTGTTACCCTGGCTGGAGTGTAGTGGCACAATCTCAGCTTACTGCAACCTCCGCACCCCCAGGTTCAAGTGATTCTACTGCCTCAGCCTCCCAAATAGCCAGTATTACAGGCACCTGTCATCATGCCCAGCTAATTTTTGTATTTTTAGTAGAGACAGGGTTTCACCACCTTGCCCAGGCTGATCTTTAACTCCTGACCTCATAATCAACCCACCTTGGTCTCCCAAAGTGCTGGTATTACAGGTGTGAGCCACCGCTGGCCATTACATCACTCTTATTTCTGGCACATATAATAGCTCATGTGGACTACTGCAAAGGCTTCTTAATCATCCCCCTGCTTCCTGGGAAACATTTCCAATATATCTCCTATGATGCCTCCAGATTCTCTGAAAAGTAAATACCTTAGTAAGTCACTACACTACATTACACCATTCAAAGCCTTCTCACCACCTATATAATAACTATGATTTCCAAACCTTAGTGTGCATAAGTGTCACTGGAACTTGCAGAATGCCAATCCTTGGTCCATCTCGAGAGATTCTAATCCTATAAGCACAGTTTGGAATTCAGAAGTTTTAAATTATACCAGGCACCTCAAGGCACTCTCATGCATGTGGTTTATGGACAACACTTTGAGGAGCACAGGTTCAGAGAACAAAGTCCCAGCTCCTTTTCAAGGAAACAACCTATATCTGCTTATATCTCATTTCATTTCATGCTCCAAGATAATGGAATCATTTACATTTCTTCAAAATACTCAGTTTCTCACTTTCACACCTTTGTACCTGTTTTCCCTTCCTCTAAAACACTCTTTTCCTCCTTTCATCTGATAAATTATTTCTCTTTCAAAGCCTGCTTAAGCTTAAATGTCATCTCTAGGGGCCGTGCATGGTGGTTCAGGCCTGTAATCCCAGCACTTTTAGGAGCCCCAGACGGGCAGATCACTTGACGCTGGGAGTTTAAGACCAGCCTGGCCAACATGTGAAACCCCATCTCTACTGAAAATACAAAAATTAGCCAGGCGTGGTAGTGCATGCCTATCTAGCTCTAGTTACTTGGGAGGCTGAGGCAGGAGAATCGCTTGAACCCAGGAGGTGGAGGTTGCAGTAATTTGAGATCATATCACTGCACTTTAGCCTGGGCAACAGAGCAAGACCCTGTCTCAAAAAAAAAAAAAAAAAAGTCATCTCTAGGAACCTTCCTTAACCTCCTTCCATATGCCAGCCTCTTCCGGCTACCATCCTGACTTCTGTGGCTTGATTATACTGAAGGCACTCCATCTTTTACATATCTGTCCCTTTCTAAGCTGTGGCCTCTTCTAAATCAGAGTAAGCATCTCATCCTCTTTTATAAGCACTGCCTAGCATAGAAGGTGCTTTAACAGTAGTCACATCCAATTAGGGGGATGGATAATGAATGGGCGAAGATGAAAATGAGAGTTGAAATTACTCCCCAAAATATAAAGGTATTGCCTAGAAAATGATGTTCACTTTCACGAATCTATAAAATTAATACATGTATTTAGGGTTGTTGTATAAGCACCAATACATGTTTTATAAAAGTGATGTGTCTTTAAGCATAAAATGAGTGCTACAAAAAACTTAGTATGTATGTTACTGGCTGAAAAGCAGAATCACAGTTGCCAACCCACATGCGTATGTGATTGGCTTTGAATGATTTCTGGATTACATGTGACAGGCTTCAACACATGCACAAAAAGATTGTTCAATTAATAAATGTTCTGTTGTCATATACCTAATAGCCTGAGGTTCTACAACAAAGGCACAATTGTAGAATAAAGTTGAAGTTTTTTGTTTTTTCTTTTTTGAGACAGAGTCTCGCTCCGTCACCCTGGCTGGAGTGCAATGGCACGATCTTGGCTCACTGCAATCTCTGCCTCCCGGGTTGCAGCGATTCTTCTGCCTCAGCCTCCCGGGTAGCCAGGATTAGAGGAACATACTACCACACTCGGCTAATTTTTGTATTTTTTTTTTTTTTTGGAGACGGAGTTTCACTCATGTTACCCAGGCTGGAGTGCAATGGCGCGATCTCGGCTCACCGCAACCTCCGCCTCCTGGGTTCAGGCAATTCTCCTGCCTCAGCCTCCTGAGTAGCTGGGATTACAGGCACGCACCACCATGCCCAGCTAATGTTTTGTATTTTTAGTAGAGACAGGGTTTCACCATGTTGACCAGGATGGTCTCGATCTCTTGACCTTGTGATCCACCTGCCTCGGCCTCCCAAAGTGCTGGGATTACAGGCTTGAGCCACCGCGCCCGGCCTAATTTTTGTATTTTTAGTAGAGATGGGGTTTCACCATGTTGGCCAGGCTGGTCTCAAACTGCTGACCTCAGGTGATCCTCCCGCTGCGGCCTCCCAAAGTGTTAGAACTACAGGCATAAGCCACCATGCCTGGCCAAAAGGTGAACTCTTTTAATGATAAAATAAACCCTACTGACTTGTAGTCAAAGGTACAGATGTTGAAAAGCCGAGTTCTTAGGCCAGTGCTGTTTTGTTTGATATCGCCTAGCATAGTCCCATGTGTGTGAATATGTGTGAATGATTGCCTCTGCAGCTGAATGCATTGTCGCCTGATCTGTGTGTTCCTGGGCCTCCAAACCGGAGCCTGACAGTGGTGAGGTGGAAGTTAAATCATGAGGTAGTTCACAACTTATTCTATTAAAACGGGCAAAGTATATATGCAAAGCATTCTTCTGGGTATTTTGGCGGCATTATAAATAATTAAAGACACC